GGGACCCACAAACTCAACATAAAATGCATTCAAATTTGGGTTTAAGCATGTTTCATCAGATTCTCGAATAAGGGCTGTGATCTCAAAAGCTGAAGAACCATTTCTGATCCTATGTCGGAAGACATCCAACATATTTTTTGGGTTGTGTTTGTTTGCCCACCCACTCCACTGGAGAAAAAGTGCAGACACACCTTTCTTATGGAGAAATCTCATCACTCAGCTTGTGAGCAAAGTAAGGAACAGAAATCCAAGAAAGAAGGGAAGACCATCATCTTCTGACACTGAGGAAAGGCTAAATGGAAAGTGCAAAAAAATTCAACAAAGGATTGTGCAGTTTGCAGCAGAAAAAATGAGAAAGGTGGGAGGAGAGAAATCATTTTCTACAGTGAGACAGTCAACAGGAAGCCTGGACTTCATCCTAGAGATTGTTCCAAGGAGTATGATACTCAAAAAAAATTAGAAGCAAGGGTGGCGCCTGTGGCTCAAAGGAGTAGGGCACTGGCCCCATATGCCAAAGGTGGCAAGTTCAAACCCAGCCCCAGCCAAAAATTGCACAAAAAAAAAAAAAAAGAAAGAAAAAATACTAACTGGGAAGAAAAGACTTTGAAAAGGACATTTACATGCCTGTTGTATAGCAATAATTTTATACTGAGAAATAAATCCATTCAAAGTACTTAGAATCTGTCAGCTTGCTTTGGCCTTAATTGACATCAGCCCTTCAAAATGCTTCACGATAGATATTGAAAATCTGAACTTGAGATTCAAACAATTATTTTATAGCCCTGTATGCCTCAAGTCACCTACTGACATGTCTTGAGAATAGGTTGAATTTCTTGGAAAAACTCTGGCAATGTATAAAACAATTGCCAAAAACAAGGCTGCCCACATGTCCAATTCGCTATTCCTTACGCCTTTTGTATTCCAGGGTTACCAATGCTGTGATCTAAATAATGTTGTCAAAGGTTAAGAAATCCATACCTCATACTAAAGAGAGGTTAACAGTAAAAAAAAAAAAAAATCAAAGAAGAAAGAAGTTTGTTTTTTTTTGAGACAGAACCTCAAGCTGTCCCCCTGGGTCGAGTGCTGTGGCATCACAGCTCACAGCAACCTCCAACTCCTGGGCTCAAGCGAGTCTCCTGCCTCTGCCTCCCAAGTTGCTGGGACCACAGGCACCCGCCACAACACCTGGCTATTTTTTTTTGGTTGCAGCCATCATTGTTGTTTGGCGGGCCCGGGCTGGATTTGAACCTGCCACCTTAGGTGTATGTGGCTGGGGCCTTAGCCACTTGAGCCACAGGCGCTGAGCCGAAAGAAGTTTAAAAAAATTTAAAAAAGAAATCCATACTTAGCAGAATTACACATTATACATATATTCACAAAAAGTCAAAATGGAAATCAGTATCAGAAAATTAAGTGCCAAGAGTCTCCTATATCTTTTTATTTTGTAGTATTACAAGATAAAAAAATGATAACTCAAAAGAGATATGTGTTTGTTATCTTGAAAATCCTTCTCTTGTTACTGTCCCCTTTGATAATCTATTACCAATCGTATTCCTTTGCCAGCAGGACATCTTGAAGTAAGGAATCAATTCTAACCACTTACCCTGATCTATGCAACTGATAGGAAATACATGTAGTTTTATGAATTTATTCTTTCATTCACTGAAAATTCTACTTCAACTTCTTAGAATCTTACAGGTGAGAGTTACCTAGGGCATCCTTTCATTTCAGAGATGAGAAAGCTGGGAACTCCAGGCGTTAGCACTCAGGACCAACACACACACACCATTTTACCACTAATTTGGCTTCTGCCTCAACATATTTCTGAAACTCTTAAAGGTTGTCAGATCCAGTGGCTTCGTGTCGCTCCTCATCTATTGAGATTCTTAGCACTGCTTTTTTCTTTTTCTTTTTTTTTTTTTTTTTTTTTGAGACAGAGTCTCATTATGTCACCCTTGGTAAAGTGCTCACAGCTCTCAGCAACCTCAAACTCTTGCGCTTAAGCCTATTCTCTTGCCTCAGCCTCCCAAGTAGCTGGGACTACAGGTACCTGCCACAAGACCCAGCTATTTTTTCGCTGTAGTTGTTGCTGTTTGGCAGACCCCAGCTGGGTTTGAACCCACCAGCTCCGGTGTATGTGGCTGGTGCCCTACCCTCTGGGCTAAAGGCACCAAGCCGGCACTGCTCTTTTCTTACTGAACTCCCTTTGATTTTGTGATACACAATATGCTTCTCCCGTTCCTTTCCCTTCTCTCTTTTTGGTTTCCCTCTCAAATGCTCATTTGTCCTCCTTAATTTCATCACTTCTCTGTAAATGACGCCCAAATCCACATCCCAACCCAGATCTATCTCCCTGGAATCTTAACTCCCAAGTATTCACAGCACATTTCTGCGTGCCTGGCCCCATATCACTCAACATGGCTAAAACTAATGCAGCTCTCTCTCACACACCCATAGTTTCCTCATCCAGTTTCAGTTAATGGTCCCCTCATATTTTCATCATAGATGTCAGACCAGCTCTTTTCCGTGATGGGAAGCACTGAAAGGGAACCAGATCTGAGAGAAACTTTAGCTCAGTCTTGAACATGCTTCAGAGGACCTCTGCAACATTTAGTAGAAATGGAGAGTAAGCGGCTGGACAGTTGGATGTACGTGTCTGATGGAGAGCAAGCAGTCCGATAGTTAGATATATGGGTTCGGAGCCTTTTCCCTTGTCTCTGACACCAAAACCCTTGGGAAGTATTTCTTAAATTTAATATACCAAAATTGGATTACATTAAACATGCTCATTTCAAAAGAATTATTTTAAACTATTGGTACTTTCTGTACCACTTCAGATACAGAGGCAATTTTAAGGGCTTTAATTGCTTCAACCGAGACAAGCTGATTTTATAATCTGTCACAGATTTCTTTTGCACATTTAACCATTTATTGTTTCTGTACACGACGAAGCTTCTATCTGTGTTGCGAGTGGAAAGTAAGCCAGCTCAAATTACCAATGATGGCCCAGCCAGCTTTCCCCAAATGGCTTTTGTTCTCCTACTGTTTGCTTAGTAACCTGGCACAGAGTATACAACTTACAGAATTATTTTTCAGGTTTCCCTCCAGTGTGATACATCATTTTATATTTAAAGATTTTTCCTAAAACTACAATTTTGAATATTTGAGCTGTAAGTCTACTTTATTTAAATACCTTGCTTTTTAGGACCATCAGTAGTCAAAAAAATGATACCCCATAATGATGTGCAGATCTAGATGGAGGAACTGTATCACTTACTAAAAAGCATAATTC